TAGGACTGAGGCTCTGGAGCCAACTGGCCCGAGTTTGTTTAAATCCAGCTCTGAATGTTAAACCCAGGTGGCCTTAGGTGTGGGGCAGCTCTATGCTGCAGTTCCCTCTGAGAGGGTTTGGTGAGGATGTAGGACTTCCTCAATGCTAATACTCAGGCCTGGATGGAGCCAGCTGTATGGGCGGTTCCTGGGCAATGCAGGAGATGCCCGAGCCTCCGTGCTCCCAGTGCCACTTGGACAGTGCATGTAATGCATCCCCAGGGGACGGGTGGTTGGACGGGCAGACTCTCTGAACCAGAACTTGCATGTTAACACCATCCAGGGGAAGCTCTGCCCCCGATGGGTCCAGATGGGTTCTATTGGATTCTGGGTTTGTGTGACTCGGGCAAGCCATCTAACTTGTTGGAGTCCCCAGGTTCCTGGCTGCCCTGAGGACTGTTATCAGCAAAGCGTGATTAGCACAGTACGTGGTGTGCGGTGACATTTGGTAAACCGTGGGGGCTGAGGCAGCCGGTGTGCTCTGCTGGGCCGGCTCTGCCAGTGCTGACCTCTCACCCTCTGGCTGTCAGCAGCTGTGCGTGAGGACTCCAGGGTGGTGTCTCCTTGCCAAGCTCTGTGCCCTGATCACATGTGCCATGTCTGGGATTCGTTCCCGGCCGGGGACTGGGCTGGAGGAAAGTGCAACACAACTCGGTGTTTGCCCAACGTGGGTGGCAGTTTGGCCTGGTTGCTCGCTGTTGGTGCTGTGGGCTGTTTCTGCTTTCAGAAGCATTGGGCAAGGCTCAGGGCGGTTTGGGACTTTCCTCGGCCACTGAGCCACTGTCTTCCCCGGCTTTGGCCCTTTGGTCTGTGAGTGTGGGGAACAGTCCTCCACGTCCCTAGCCCTGCCCCTCTCAAGCTTGTGGGGAAACAACGGTACAGGGAGGCCCTCATTCCGTCACAAAAATGCGTGGCAGGAAGGAGCTGATGTCACACCAGCATGGTTAGAGGGTCCTCCAGGGAAAGTGTGCGTGTGTGTGTGTGTGTGTGGAGAGTGTTATATATGTAGATGTGTGTGTCTGTGTGTATGTCTGTGTGTCCAGGAGTCTATCTTTGTTTCAGTCTTGATATGGTTTGAAAGTGAATGTGTGTGTTTTCCTGAGTGTGTAAAAATGAGTGTGTATGTGCTTATGTGCATGAGTGTGTAGTTGTGTAAGCATGTTGTAATGGTTAATTCTATATGTCAGCTTGACTGGGCCACGAGGTGCTCAGATGTTTGGTTAAACGTGATTCTGGGTGTGTCCGCGAGCATGTTCCTGGAGGAGACTGACATTTGAATCTGTGCGCTGAGCAAAGCGATTGCCCTCCCATTGTGGGTGGGATTTACCCAATCAGCTGAGTAGAATTAAAGGCCACACAAGAAAGAATTCTCTGTCTTATGTCTTCAAGCCAGGACATCAGTCTTCTGCTTTCAGACTCAGACTCAGATTGGAACTGACACCGGATTGGAATGGGCTCCACTTCTCAGGCCTTGGGACTCAAGCTGGAGCTATGCTATTGGCTTTCCTGGTCAGACCGTTTAGCCTCCACAGTTGTGGGAGGCAGTTCCTTACAGTAAATCTCTTTACACACCCACGCATACCCAATTGGTTCTGTTTCTCTGAGAATCCTGACTGATACATTTGTGCACATGTATCTCTGCCTATATGGATGTCTACGTATGTAAGTGTATATTGTTTGTGTATCTGTGTCTCTTTGCTTGCATGTTGTATGTTCATGTGTCTGTGTATTCCTGTGAATCTGGTTGAAAAGCATTACATTTGTGCCTCTGCATGTGAGCATGTGTGTGCACACATGTGCAGGTGTGTGATTGTGTGTATGTATGCTATATGCACTATTTCTATTCTATCCAAGGCATGCCTGAAGTGCTGCGGAAGTGATGGGCTCAGTACTGAGTCCCATTCATTCATTCATTCATTCATTCATTCCTCATCTATCCTTTAACCCCTTCCTACTGGAAGTGTGGTCCCTGGACCAGTGGAGCCAGCATTTCTTGGGAACTTGATGGAAATGCAGATTCTCATGCCTCACCACATCTTATGAATCAGACTCTCTGTGAGTGCGGCCCAGGAATCTGTTCACAAGCTCTCCAGGAGGATTTTTGGCCTCTAAGGTTTAGGAGGCACTGATTGAACCCATTTTATTGACCCTGCTGTCCTCCTTTCTTGTGGATATGCATAATGTCCCCCTGACCTCCATGCTGTGCCCACTGCTGGCTTTGGCCAGTTGTCATCCTACCATGTGGAGAACATGGCTTTGCCCACTAACTGGTCATACAGCAGGGCTCCTACAGGAGATTCCTAGTCCCCAGGGGTGTGAATGGATGCGGAAGGGACACAAGGTGGGTGAGGGAAGCCTGTGGCTGAGTGAAGTCAAGGAGCGGGCATGCTCTTCTTCCCCAGGGGATGTGAGCACATCCCAGACCCATCCCTTTGCTGGTTGGGAAACCATAGACTGTGGTTTTGCCAGAACTTCCAGAGCCAGGACTTCTAAGGACTGACCCACGCAGCTGGGAGCCTCTTGTCTCTGGCTGGGTGAGCAGGAAGTGCTGTCTGTCTGTCTAATTTGAGCAGTTAACAGAATTATAGACCTTGGTAGTGAGAGGGGGTTTGGGTCCCCTCTCCCCCAGGCTGGGTTGCCTGGGAGCTCTTCCTTGTCTCTTCTTGGGGTGAAAAGGAGGCAGGTGCAGTTTAGGTGGCAGGGATCCTGGGCACCTCCTCTCTTTGAGTCTCCTCTAACACTTCTCCTTCCTGCCATCTCATTTTTTTTTAGCTCATGGGACATAGCTGGAGGCTACACAGTTGATTCAACAAGTTAAATTTCACTTCAGAGGGCACATCTTGGCATAGTCACGTTGCTGTGTGAACTTCCAGGCAGGCCCTGCTCTCAGGGTACTTGTCTTGTTGCTTCCATCATGGATCTCTTTTGCAATTTGAAAGGAAAACCCAATGAAGTGTACAGTTATTGGATGAGTTATCAATTGCTGCATAACAAACGACCACAAATTTAGCAGCTTAAACAGCACACATCTATTAGCTCACAACAACTGTTGGTCAGGATCTGGGCACAGCTGAGCTGGGTTCTTTGCTTCAGGCATCACCACACTGCAATCCAGGTGCATTTGAGGGCTAAACTGGGAAATAATCCCTTTTCAAGTTCAAGTGTCTGTTGGAAGCCACCAGTGTGGCCATGTGCATCCTTAAAGCCAGCAAAAGGACAGTGCCACAGGCCTGCATATAAAGGGGCAGGCATTATAAGGGTAACCAACACTAATACAAACACACATTAACTCTCTCCACTGAAGATGCCTGCAAAAAATAACCCATGAGGTGGCAGTGAGCACCTTTAGATGCACCTTCTCGCTAGAAGGAGCCAAGGCTACTTGGAGAAACAGTGGTTCCAGGCCAGGGCAGGAAATGTACAAGGTGAGCCTGGAACATCTGGTCTACCCAGAGATCCGGGAAGCCATTGAAGATCATCAAGGTCATGTCAAAAGAACTCTCAACAAACAACAAGTGTTCCTGAGGATGTGGAGAAAAGGTAACCCTCATGCACTGTTGGTGAGAATGAAGATTGGTGCAGTCATTATGGAAAACATTATGGACAACCCTAAAAAAATTAAAAATGACCCAGCAAATTCACTTCTGGGTATGTATCCTAAGAACCCAAAACACTAATTCAAAAAAACACATGCACCTCAAGTACATCTCAATCATCTCAAAATTGTAGTTAAAAACTTACCATATACAAGGAAATAGCAGCAGAGAATCACTAATCTTAAACCAACCAACCAAAAAACAAAAACAAAAAACAAACCCAACCCTTGAAATAAAAAATGAAAAAAGTGCCATTGCGGCATTATTTACAGTAGTCAAGATATGGTAGCAACCCAAGTGCCCG